TAGTTTTTGTGTATGTCATGATGCATCTCAGTAATCCAGGTAAAAAATCAAAAAGAAAAAAATTGAATAGGTCTTAGTTTTTGTGTATGTTTTTCATGCACAACTCAGGTCTGAAACCTGTTGTTGTGTTGGTGAAAAGCAGCGACAGACACACGGATGCTGTGGATCAGTTGGACAGTTTGACGGCAGCAGCAGGTAAGCTGGTCCCTGAAGCATCAACCAGCTAACAAGACACTGCCTACAAACCAGCCAAAGGTGTCCCAACATGACCCTGTGTGAGGGTCTTTGATAGATTCAAACAGAAGTTAAATGTAACTGTTGGGTTAGCAGAGCAGTGTGAGCTGACAGAGAGAGGACACGTCAGCTAACATCACACTGCCTCCCCACCGGTCACAGCTCAGAGGAGAGTTTTTAATTCTGCTTCAGTTGATTTAGCTGTCTGCTTCATTTGATTTGTATTTGCAGTGTCATCAGGCCAGCTGATGTGCACAGGAGCCTAAAACAACCTGAAACTCATGTTGCTCTTCTCCAAGTTTCTCGTCTTACCTTGAAAAGACAGATTCTCCTTTTCCATCGGAGGCGCCTCAGAATCCTCCTGAGGACAAACACAAACCTGCGTCTTCACCTCGCAAACATCCTGCACATTTTAAGGCCGTGTAAAGTAAAAACAAATGTGTGTTCTGAAGTTGTCACACCGCAGAAATATGTGTTAAAAAATCACCCAGACAAGTTTGAACAATTAAAAGTACTGTTAACCTTTTTAAAATTATGTGTTAAAAGCAATGAAAAAATATCAGCTAGCTATGGTCTGGAATGCTGGGGGCGTGTCCACTGGAGGAGCTTAAACCACGCCCACAACCCTGAACATTCCTGTAACCAAAGAAACAATGTTTGTTTTCTTTTCCGTTAGAGCAACAGGGGGCCGGTTTATACTGAAGGCAGCTGCGTGACATCACGAGGCTGCCCTTTAAGACACGCCCCAAAAAAATCCTGAAACACAGATATCTTGTTACACAAATTGAATCGTATCTCCACTGTTCAAATATCTACGCTTGAGAGAATTTGTACTCATTTCCAACAATCCATTCATGACATTTATAATGTTTTAAAAAAGAAAATGTTACATTTTACTTTACATGGTATTTTAGATTTTTAACTTTAAAATTTAACATGAGCAGATTGTAAAGTAACAAAGTACAAATACTTTGATACTGTACTTAAGTAGAATTTTTGGGTATCTTTACTTGAGTAAATATTTTTCAGCCTACTTATTACATTTTCACAGTATTATC